AATAATAATAATAATAGTGATAATAATAATAAATGTTTTACCCGCCTACATAATCATCCATTAATTCATTAATTCATATTATGCTATGAATGTCATTTCAATTATCCGAATTATATGCATGTTCCGATCATGACCTCACTTCACATGGCGCTATCATGTTACATATCATTTATGGCGCTAAGAGTCCACTAATATTAGTTTTACATTTTTTAAGTTATCAACGACTTAAATAACTGAAATAAGAAAAAAAGTGATTTTGAACAAATGCGCTCACCGATTGAATTTGAACATCAAACACCAAAATAAGCTAATTTAATTAAATGCGACAAGATAGAACATGTATTGTTGGTATCGTCCTTGTAAGCATTTTTGTAATGTTTTTTTTTCTTTTTCATTTCTTTTCTTAATTTCGATATTTCTATAAAAATCTTATCATCTTTTATTTATAAAATTTTCAAATACCAATGTTAAATCAAAGTTTTTAATTTTACAGAATGATGACGCATTGGATTTCTTCCAAAAGTTTGGTGTGATAGATGAGAAGAAATAATTCTTTATTTTATCATTTGCACATCAATCCTTATCACTAACACATTTACAGTTCTCCTGATTTCACTTTATCAAATTAAGAGAGTTTTCCATAAACAGAAACGGCTTCTCCTCAAAAATAAACGATCTTCCATATTCCGCTGCGCCACAATTCATCAGCATTGCTACAATCATTGTATAGAAATAATTATGCAAATTGCTTCCATAACAGAAAGGATCCAGCAAATGAAACTTAGAGAGTTATAAAATGAAAATCCTCGAAATGATTAGTCATTCAGCATTAAATAATACTAATAAGTCAATTCTGCGTGAAATGAACATACATTCTTTTACATTTGTTGTCGCTATTAATCGACCATCTTCCCATAACTCATCAGCTTTATAATCTGTGATAATCTCCGCAGCTGAAATTAATGCCACAACAAATCTGATAAAAGTTATTGGACGAAGAGGGAACCCCTGAGATTTGAAATGGTTATTAATATCGTCTAAACTTATCAGCCCATAACAATAAGAAATTGTATTTTTTACTTTTCTAGATTTTTTCCATCAAAAATACTAAAGTAATAAAGTAATTCTTGTTTTTTCTACCGCAAAAGTAAAGTCAGTGGTACTCGAACTGGTGAATTACCACTAAAATTACTTTTCCCATCTAATGCGGCCTTACGAGAAATCCCAAACAAATATCTGGAATGATGCAAAATGGAATAATATACATAGCTAATTTGTATTGGTTATCAATTAAGTGATAAAAAAGTGAGATGCATACCTACTCCT